ATTTTTCAATTAGATTTGGACAATATATGTACGTATCAGGGATCGCACCGACATAAAAACAAAATTCCCGATTTCGGGAATCGGGAATTCCCGAAAATTTCGAATTCCCGATTTTCGGGAATCGGGAATTCCCGAAAATTTCAAATTCCCGATTTTCGGGAATCGGGAATTCACGAAAATTTCGAATTCCCGATTTTCGTGAATCGGGAATTCACGAGCCAAAAATCGTCGGGAATTCACGATTTTCGAGAATTTTCGGGAATTCGGGAATTTTGCCTTTTTGGGGGGATTAGAAGTAATTAGGGGTTAGATGTACTAGAGGTTCTTAATTGATTAATGGATATTTAAGAGATACAAGTGTATCAAGAATAATGGGATTTGAGGTAATAAAGATGTATTGAGGGATATTAGAACAATTGGAGGATTAAGAGTGATCAAGCGATAAATTGGATCTCCCAGCTTTCCAAATTACTGATATACAACTTACCCTTCTTGAGCCCTTAATATCACGCGCAATATGGATTTCAGAGGATTCGAAGAGATATGGGAAGAACAAGAGGGATGTGGGACAGGGTATGTGGATCAGTTGAAGCACAATAGAAGATATCGATGAAAAAAGATCTGAGGGACTATTAAAACATTTCTCTCCTTATGCTTTTCAAATCCCCCCAATATACTAAAATTCCTTAATCAATTTTAGTCATTATCACTCGATCCCTCCTTATCTGCCTAAATCTCTTTTACCTCTTATTAGCCTCCTTATCCATGATGTGAACCTCCCAGTCTAGAAGATAACGAGATTAGAAATATGTAACGCGATAAAAGGGATATCGAATGATACCGTGGGACTAAGGAGGATTTGAAGTTATCTCTCTAAATCTTTCGATCTTCTCATAATTATTCCATTTTCAGCGCCGCAGGCGAAAATTTTGAGAATTTTTAAAGACCAAGCCACCATATTTCTTCCTTTTTTAGCGCAGCAGGCGAAAATTTTGAGAATTTTTGAAGACCAAGCCACCAGATTTTTTCCTTTTTTAGCTCCAATAATTAATAAAAATTCCCGATTTTTTTCCCGATTTTACGAAAAAATGTCGTGAATCGGGAACGTGAATTCACGAAAATTTCGAATTCCCGATTTTCGGGAATCGGGAATTCACGAAAATTTTGAATTCCCGATTTTCGTGAATCGTGAATTCACGAGCCAAAAAACGTCGGGAATTCCCGATTTTCGGGAATCGGGAATTTTTTCGGTGCGATCCCTGGTACGTATATGTCAAATGTCAATCGAAAGAGCTCGACGAGCGGAGTCGACTACACTACTTATGTAGCCAAGCAAATGACATAAAAATAACGTTCATATTCCAACTCTCATTATTTATACGGAAATATTGCATCATCTTTCCTGAATTGATTTCCATGCTTGTGAGCATGGTAAAGAGGCGCTTTTTGCCTTAATGACGTAGAACCGTCAAAACAAACTTTTATATTGACTCATGGGTATATGTATTTTCCCCTTTTAATTTAGTAAATATCCTCCTAATTTAATAGTAATATTTCTAATTAGAGGGAATTTATCGACATTTGAAAAATAATATACTGTAGTTTCGAATTTATTTTTAAATAATTATTTACAACTGATCAACTAAAATACAAAGGAGTGTAACACAAAATTTTTTCGCCAGTGTTGTTATGTACTATCAGTGTTGTTATGTACTAGCTTGATGTCGAAATTTAGCTTATAAAAAGCAAACGCATGCTTCACATGTTCGTTTACCACGCATAATATCGTTGACGCTTAAATGCAATAGAATTTTAAATCTACTTTTACATAAAATTAATTGAACTAATTAATATTATGTTAATGAATCTAATATTATTAGAGAGCGGATTTTATGCATATGCATAATTTTTTGCAAAATTGGCATGATGTATAATGCAGTAAAACACAGTTTCCGCCCGTTAAAACTGTTTTTGCCAAAAATTAAACTTTTTTCAAAATTTTGAATACATGAATAAATTTTTGAAAATGATAAATTTTTTTAAAATTCATACAAAATGAGACTGATATTTGATTAAAACTCCACATGGAAAATGGGTTTACCCAATTTGAATTAACTGAAAACATCTCATATCGGTTAATAGAAAGTATGACTATACATATTTTAAAATCCAAAACTAAATCTCAATTAGTCAAGTAAAATGCTTGACTGACAAAAATAACCACATTACTTGATATGCAGGCGATTTATGTTCATTTTACATCTTTTTAACTTAAAATTAATTTAAATAATTAATATTATGCAAATTTATGAGCGAGTGGCCAAGTGGTTAGGGTGTTAGGCTTCCACTATATGAGCGAGTGGCCAAGTGGTCCACTATATGAGCGAGTGGCCAAGTGGTTAGGGTGTTAGGCTTCACCAAAGATGTTAGTGATTTAGATGTGGGTTCGATTCCTGTTCAGACGACAATGAATTTTTATATTTTTCATTCTTTAAATAACATATTTTATACAGTCACGGACAAAAGTTTGGACGCAAACGATTTTCAAACTTTTTTTCAAATATTTTTATTAAAATCAATAATTTAAAAAACAAATTTTTTGTAAAATAATGCTCCTTTTATGAACTTTAATATACATCAACAAAATACTGGAAAATTTTATAAAAAAATTTTTTTTTGATATTTAACCAAAAAAGGGGGTGGACAAAAGTTTGGACGCAAAATTTTAATAAAAAATATCTTACAGTATAATGGTCCAAAAAATCTACAAAAATTTCTGTGGACATTTCCAATGATATAGAATAGAAAAACAAAAGGAACGAAGTCCTTAACTTCTTCCATCATCAAGATCTCGAATGTCAAAAATCAACGCAAAATGGGGGTACAGTACTTTAAAAAATATTTTTAACCCCTAGAGCTTTTATAAAAATTTTTCTTTTGGGCCCATTAAAGAGCCCATAAAATTTGCTACAAAATAATACAAGTTTTTATTTTTCCAATAAAAACTCATGGAGACAGAGTCGAGGCAATTTTCTAAGTTAACATTATTGGGGTATTTTAGGGGTTTTTTGACCATTTTTATGTAAAAGTGTCTGCAGTTCGAAGAACCATTTTTTAGAATAAATGAGACCAGGACTATTTTGTAGCAAATTTTATGGGCTCTTTAATGGGCCCAAAAGAAAAATTTTTATAAAAGCTCTAGGGGGTAAAAATATTTTTTAAAGTACTGTACCCCCATTTTGCGTTGATTTTTAACATTCGAGATCTCGATGATAGAAGAAGTTAAGGACTTCGTTCTTTTTGTTTTTCTATTCTATATCATTGGAAATGTCCACAGAAATTTTTGTAGATTTTTTGGACCATTATACTGTAAGATATTTTTTATTAAAATTTTGCGTCCAAACTTTTGTCCACCCCCTTTTTTGGTTAAATATCAAAAAAAATTTTTTTTATAAAATTTTCCAGTATTTTGTTGATGTATATTAAAGTTCATAAAAGGAGCATTATTTTACAAAAAATTTGTTTTTTAAATTATTGATTTTAATAAAAATATTTGAAAAAAAAGTTTGAAAATCGTTTGCGTCCAAACTTTTGTCCGTGACTGTATGTTTAATTTTGTTTTAAAAATTATTCCATTTTTACATGGAGTAATTATGAGATTTTGACCCTCAAAATTCTTAAAATATTTTTACTTTGAACTCTAAAAAGTGAATTCTTTTTGCCTACGGCCTTCCGAAATTTTCAAAATTCGCCTGCGGCACAGAAAAATGCAAGAAATCTGGCTTCATGGCCTTCAAAATTTTTGAAAATTTCCGCCTGCGGCGCAAAAAACGGAGAAATCTGACTTTAGTATATCCAAAATTCTTAAAATTTTTGCCTGCGGCGCAGAAGGGATTTGAGCTTAAGAGGAATATCAGGAGATAAAAATGTGAAAAGTTCGGTGGAAAAGGTATAAAGTTTCATGGAAGTGAATGAAAGCCCGATGAAAAAATACGTGTTTCGGGTAACCCGAGTCATCTTGGAGACAATATTGTTCATTGCACTCCAAAATGCTCAAAAATTTCGCCTGCGGCGCAGAAAATGGATTATATTGGAGGATTTATGGCTTTAAAGCCTTCAAAGATTCAAAAATTATCGCATACAACGCTTAAAATTTAAAAATAGGTGTCTCGGACTCCAAAAAATCATAAAAATTTTAGATTTTTTGATTTTTTCTCAAGTACGAGTAAGTACGAGGTACGAGTACGAGGTACGAGGCCTAAAATATGGGTGGTACGAGGTACGAGTACGAGTACGAGCAAAAAAATAGGGGTGGTACGAGGTACGAGTACGAGTACGAGGCCAAAAAAAGAGGTGGTACGAAGTACGAGTACGAGTACGAGCAAATTTGAAATTTCGAAGCACTGTTTGTTACTTTTACCTAGGTCAATTATAGTCCTGTAATAGCATCCCTAAATTTATTTGCTATTATTAAATGTTAAAGTTGCAACAAAAATTATAAATATAACGGTCAAACCCATCCCAGAAGAAGCTAGGGTACTATCGGTTTTACGCCCACAAATTGAGTGTCAGCCGAACTTGATCGGCTTTAACTTTTTGATGCCTGATCCAATTCAGATAAATCTTAAATCATTCGAAAGCCCTCGATAAGAAGAATCTTTTTTCCAACTTAATGGATCTGGTCACTCGTTAAAAAGTTATAATGCGATAAATGTGTAAACCATCTAATAACTGGAAAAATAACTGGATAACTTTTTAATGAGTGATCAGACTTGAACTATCCTATAAAATAAGGTTCCGCTTATCGAGGGCTTTCGAATGATATAAGATTAATCTGACTTGGATCAGGCATCAAAAGTTTAAAGCCGATCAAGTACCCAACAATTGAGTTGATATATGGGATCGGATATCTTGTTGTTAACAGCTAAACTATCCCACATAACCTTCTATCGTTTTCATTTTGAATTTATCTGACAAAACAGGTTGTGCACCAAGGTTGCCGCGGGTACAAAAAACTTTCGAGTACGGGTTTCGGATATCTGGTTTGAGCGTTTTCATTCGGGTCACGGGTTTCGGATTGGAAAAAATATCGGGTCATGGGTTTTGGGTTGGAAAATTTTATTTTGGGTTTCGGGTACAAAAAAGGCCGTGTTTCGGGCGACAACCATGTTGTGCACACAAAATTACACTTAGAACCCCAACTGAGAGTCGGGCCTATTTCATTTTCCTTTTTTATTATATGATCCCTTAATATTAGTAATGACTAAAGATTTGCTAAGTATTTATTTTAACCATTCGGAGTGGCTTTTTAGATGTTGGTGTATAGCATAGATGGTCAATTTGTAAGTAAGGGTCTGGAGTACCGGTCATCTCATAGACGCCGCGTTTTTTAACTAGGAAATGCCCCATAATGTCAGTTAAGACAGGTCCATCCAATAAATCATCAGGATCAACAATACTATCCTCTATATATAAATTAAGAAATTAAATCAAGTTTTTCAATAAAAATATTTACGGCCATAATCTCTTTCATAGAAGTGAATGATTGCTTCTTGTAGAAGGAACGAAAACTCCCCTAATCCATGAATATTTTCTTTACACTCTAGAACTCCATCTACTACCCAATCTGATGATGACGTAAATTTTAAAATTGAAGCTAAAATAAATAATATGGCAGATTTAGGCATTATTTTAATTTTTTTGCTTTAATTTTTATATTCTGAATGATAGATAAACTAATGAAATTAATTAATTAATAATTTAATTTTATATTAAAATTAATTTTTTGTAGGCGTTTCTAAAATAAAGATTTATTTTATTAAATGAATCATAAAAACGTTAAATTTTTAATTAAATAAATTAAATATCAAATTGTATACATAGGAATGTGTTCAAAAGGGCCTTCTTTATCCCCTTTAAATCCTTCAAATCCATCGATATCCCTCTTAATCCCTCCTAGTTCCTCTTTTCCCACCTAGTTCTTCTTTTAAATCCCCCGATTAGACTTGCAAAGAAATAAGGAGTAAAAAATTGTGTTGACCAAAAAGTTATAGGTCTTCAGGGTAAATAGGTCTTCAAGGTTTAGGTTTTGGGGGTGTAGGTCTTCAGGGTTGACCGCCTATTATCTATTTCCGTTGTATTGCACAAAATTCCAAGTTAGTACACAGATCTCTGCCTTATTGCACAACTTTCCAGTGCACAATTTTTCAGTGCATAGCTTTCCGGCTCCCGTTTTAGCTTAAATTAATTTTGATGATTATTCTTGGGAAATGAATTCAAAATTAATTTTTTATATTAAAATCGTACAATTCCCCTTCAAATTTGGTTAAAATTGTATAGTTTAGTGTAATTAAATCAAAAAAAATTCTTCTCACAATTACATGCTAGCTAAGTCCACTAAAAATGGTCCTATGATTATTAACAAATAATATTTTTAGCACTCAAAATTTAACCAAAATTAACCAAAATTATACAATTCTCATCAAATTTAAAGGGGAATTGTACAATTTTAATATAAAAAATTATTTTGAATCCTTTCCCATGAATAATCATCAAAATTAGTTTAAGCTTAAAAAGGGGTATATAAATAATTAAATTTTGGTTGGTAATTATGTATATTTAAAATTATTAGTCTACATTTTATTAAATTTAATTTTATTAAAATAATAAATACTCAAAAATATTTTATTAATTCTCTAAAATTATTTTTCTGATGTCCGAGCCAACATCAATTCAGCTTTGATTTTCAATAAAATATATTGTTCATAAGAAAGTTAGAATATTAATCTACTAAACTAAATTTAATAAATCTCCCAAATGTGTAGGGGTTCTCAATTTTGTTTATAAACATTTTTGTACGTTAAAGCAGTTACGTCACTCTCACTTGAGTGAGATGATGTACGTCAGATTTTCTCTAATCTCGATTTATATATCTTATAATCTGGCTATTATCTAATTCTTTTATCCAAACATTAGTACTTTACTTACACCTGATAGGATTTTATAATTCTATTCCGTTAATGAAATAGCAAAGTTTGAATAATACAACTATGCTTAAGGTGCTGCGAAAACCACCATTATTGCACATGGAAAGCCTCTGAACGTTTCGAAAACTGCTCTTCACTCACACCAAATGCTTATTTCATCAAAATCGATCCAACAACGCTTAACATGAAATGCCTTAATGGAAATTTTACATGCACGAACGAGGAATAATAGCTGTCAGCAGACACTTTGCCAGTCAACAGGTGTTTAATCATTAATGATTTAAGGGTTTCCAAATATTATAGTGGATCCGGAACTCTATCAAATTACGATTTAAAATATTTTTATCAAAAAATGAAACATTACTTTATTGTAAAGCATATAATTCCCGAGGCTATGCTGTAATGGGTAACTCGTCAGTCCGGTCTACTGAAGATGCTGGTTCGCTCCCAGCCGCAGGTTACCCTTTTGCACTAGCTAAAGGAGAGAAATAGCTATAGCCCAACTGCCTGATTATATAAAAATTTCATTAATAGGAATTCTTAATTTAATTTTTAATAATTTAGAGAACTCATTCTCTGCTGGGCAAAGATTGCAAAGACGGAAAAGATTGAGGCCTGTATCAACCGACTTATCTACAGCATCATTGATACCGCACCATCGGTTAACTCAATCATTAAAATTTTAAAGACAACACCGTATTAAATGCTCTCATTACAGAGCCTATTGTTGTGCTAACCAGCAGTTGACAGTTTGAATTGAAAGGACACTCGAAGGAGACTCGCAATACAATATTTTCTGGCATGCTAATCCAAGAGATTTTGAGGCAATTTAGTAAATTCTTGCACATTAGTAAATTAATTAAATACTTTTTATACATATTTATTATGGGGAGAATAAGTTTTGAGAGACTCTCCGGCATTTTTATGCATAAAAAATATTGGAACATTGTTGTTCTATATATCAATTAAAAACTTAAATCATATCTCATTTGACTTGTTTTAAAGAAAACTAAAGTTGCGTAGATAAGCTTGGATAAATGGGATCAAGTGATGATTTACCAAATCCGGATAACCATAAAAAGTTCTTTTCCGTGTTTTATTCTTCATTTTTTTAGAAATTTCTGTTTTGCTACGAAAGCCAATTCACGAATATGAAATTGCTTAGTAAAAAAAGCATTCAGTTGCCTGCCATCTATTGAAGTCGTCCCGGAAATAGCTCAAGGATGTGCCAAAAGTGCATCGACGTTGGCTTCTGCAGGACGCACTATTCCAATGGAATTGAAGTCCAATGGAATGGCTTCATGTTGTTTTATAATGGCGATTATAAAACAACTGATGTTATTTTGGACATAGCAGGCCATCGGTTTTTAAAAAATATTTAGAATTATAAGGTCCAATCCACTTTTAAGTAACCCATTGGAGGGGGTGGAAGGAGATACTCCAAAATTTGAGTATCTCCTAGGCATCTTCCACCACTCAGAGGCTGATCAAATTTTAAATGAATTACAATCAGTGTCCTGATCAGTGATATATTCTTAACAAGTAAATGCTAAATAAAATAGAAATTTTTAATTTAGCGCCCTCACGAGATGCTGGTCGAAAATCCAACCCATTCCGTCAAGCTGCGTCTGCTTAAGCTGTTTCCTTGACGACGCTTTGCTTTTTGCCGAAGGGCCTATTACTATTGTAATAAAGTCCGGCAACAATATATTCCATTAGAACTGGAAACTTCACTTTTACTACTCGACGCCTACGATGGTAAAGATGTCCCGATGCAAATGAAACAATCATATTGGCCGTCATGAACGTTAACAACGTGATTTCTGCCATTCGAAGGTCGGAAAAACAAATGTAGCGATCATCCACACAACGAGAATTTTAATTGACAACAATGTCAATACATATGAAGAGCTTTCCACTGACGTTAACAACGATTTGGAAATAAGAGCTCTAAGATCAACAAATGAATACCGCACTGTTATGCTAAGAATTGCTCCTTACCTCTATATAACGCGAGTAAGAGGTTATTAAATGAAACAAGGAACTGGAAAAATCATCATAAAGAAGGCCAAAGAAAAACTGAAAAATCCTAACTTTTTTGTAAGGTTAACTAATTTTTTTATAAAAAAATCTTTCTTTGATTTTAGATGAGTCTGTTAATGTTTTATTTACTCAAGCTTTGATTTCTGGTGGGTTGTTCAACATGAATTGCATTAATAAATCACCTTTTTATCCTCCATTTTGTTTAACTACTTGCAATCATTTTCTAATTGAACTTGATAATGAAATTGCTGAACTGAATTGTTTCAATTTTTTCAATCTCAAGATCGATTTAAGACAGATTTCATTTTTAAATTTATTACTTTCTTAAATTTACTCTTCAATTTTTTAAAATTATACACACTTCAAACTTTATTTTTAATATATACTCATTAATTTTGTTTTGATATTGAATTTGAATTTAATAAATATTAAAAATTCAATTATAGTTTAATTATTAAAACTGCCTAGAAGTATAAATAAATGTCAAAGTAAAGCTTCTTTTGGGTAGGACATTAGCAATTTTAGACAATTCAAGTTCTGAGGTATGTCTAGATCACTATGTTACAGGTTACCCGATTCGAAGAAAATTTTGTAAGCCTGACACAAATAAGTTCGGTCTTTAATCCCCAAGTCCGGATTAGCCCGGACTTGGACTCAATCCGGACTCAATGGAATCTCGAGGACAGGACATGAAGATTAATATCCTAAAATCCGATCTTGAGATAATAAAATAAGTATATCTCTTTGTTAAAAGACTAAAATATTTTAAGAATATGAGTTTATTTAAGCAATAAAATAATTATATATCTCTCATAAAGTAAATAATTTAAATGGTTCCGTGACTTTTGCGCCGAGAACATTTGCGCCGCGACTTATGCGCCGCGACTTTTGCGCCGCGACTTATGCGCCGAGGGACTTTTGCGCCGGGGGACTTTTGCGCCGCGACTTTTGCGCCGGGCGACGTTTGCGCCGCGACTTTTGCGCCGGACGACTTTTGCGCCGCCACTATCATTAATATAATGAAAAACTACAGCCGTACCTTACTATAGAAGATGTAGGATAGTTGGAGATCTTCGGATATCAAGATCCGGATCCGATATTCTACCTAAAATATTCGGCTATCCGGCTTTTTTCAGATCTGGATATCTGGACCCGACAATTTTACACTATAGTGCACCCACTTTTGGCAGAAAATCATGCCTGAATAGGGGTAGCAGACCAAATATCCTGATCCGAAAAAGTCAAGTTCTTTGAAGATTACCCCTCTAGGGTGTCGGTTCATTTTTCAACCTTCCTCTTGGGGGTCGCTTAATTAGAGAGGGCTATTGTACTTCCCGAAATATTGTACTTCGTGAAAGTCCTTCAGCTACTGGATAACATTTTTTAAGAAGTACACTATAATTAGGTCCGACTGTAGATATTATTTTTTTAAATTTATGGCGGCGCAAATGTCGCGGCGCATAAGTCGCCCGGCGCAAAAGTCGCGGCGCATAAGTCGCTCGGCGCATAAGTCGCGGCGCAAGAGTCGCGGCGCAAAAGTCGCCCGGCGCATAAGTCGCGGCGCAAAAGTCGCGGCGCAAATGTTCTCGGCGCAAAAGTCGTGATACCATTTAAATTGTATTAAATTTTGGGACATGAAACGAAGTTTTTAGGGTAAA